TTTTAAAAAACCAGTGAGTGGCCAAAATTAAATAGACACTAAAATTTCAATATGACATAACATCCAAACTCAGTGTAAAGACTGGGAGATATTCTGAAAACAGCACTTTCAACCAAACCACACGAAAGTCCAACTGCTAAATGACAGTACTTTGCAGACAATCATCACCAAAGTCTGTCAAGTCCTCCCCAGGACTGCATTTAGGTATGTAATTACACAGAAAGACAATCGCAGACTTTGTCAAATTTGTTTGATGTGTGCAAAAGATAACTTCAGGATTTCCATGTTTATAAAAATAAATCCTCAACACTTTCAACTTTCTTTCCTCCATTACATGTTTTCCATTTTAATTGGAATGTCATAGTAAGAAATAAAATGGTAAAGTCCTCTTTCATAGCAATGAAATTCTGTGGCACATTAATACTAACTAAAGAATCCCATAGCTCTGCCATCCCTGTACGTCTTCCTTTAAGGCCACTCTTTTAAAGGTGCTTAGCTGTGAAGAGGAGGAGATAGAGTAGCAGGTAGAGGAAAGAAGATTCTTGTGTTACAAAATTAAGATGGTACAGTCCTGAGCATGTTTAAAGAAAGGCTGAAGTCAGTGAAATGTCCTGAGACAACCAATGTTCCTGCATAATAACATAGCATCGTGTTTGAAGGGCTTCAAAGGTTTTTTGACAATACTGGGTAAGAGAAATAAACAGCCTTCTGTAAATTGAATGAGATGTCATTAAAGACACTCAAAAGATGATTAAAGAGTTGCCATGTACCATATGGCTGCAGCCAGGGTGGCAGAGATGGTACCAAAACTGTTCTCCTGCAAATTAAACACAGACACTGAAACAACTTACAATTTGCAGAAACCAAATTGAATTTCCTGATGAATACCAGACAGTATCTTTTTCACTGTCCTTAAAAAAAAGTTAAGCACTAGTTATGTCACTGGCTGCTTAAGAGAACAAGACAAACTCATTAAATGAAAACAATACTTCAGAACTCAGACATCAACCAGAAACCAGACTGGGTAGCATATTGCTTTTCTGTCTTAGAAATGTATTTAACTTCTAACCAGCTGCCTCTGGCCCCAGCTACCTAGTCTAGGTGCTCTTTCACTAACTGGCCATAGTTTTTTCATCCCCCAGCTAATTCTGAATGACCCAAATCCTCCTAATCCTTCCAGGTCTGCCTCAAAAGTCACTTCCTCTATAAAACCTGTTCTGATCTTAACCGAAACAAGATTCCTAATAGTTGGTATCTCCATGTGGCAATTATGTCTTCCCACATTTTATAGCTTATTGCTTTCTCTAAATAAGTTCCTTGGGGGCAGAAACTATATTTGCACTTGCCCTCTCTTCCCTGCAGCAGCTGCAGCTCCAGCCCAAACAGAGAAAGTGCACTCAATCAACATTTGGTGATCTCAATATCCAGAAGGCAGCTGCCAGCCCTGAATCCTGCCCACCTCAATTCAGTCCACAAAATTCCTCCCACAACTTTACTAGGAAGTCAACACACTGCCTCCTTACTCCTACAGTGAACAGGCTTGAATAGTCATTAAGCATATCTTAGGGGCACAACAAGTCTATTTCCTTTCAGAATCCTTAAATGAAAGAAGTAGGAAGGCGCTCTAAACCTTCAGCACCGATGGAGCATTCATCTACAGGTGGAACAGGAATACTAGAGTTCAAGCTGACCAAAAAGAACGCCTGGGGGACAAACCAATTTACCAAACTTTCATCATCAACATTTCTTCTCACTATCACCCGAAGCGGCCCATCTTTGAGGCAAGAAAGTAGCAGTTCAGGAGCCACAATCTTTCTTGCCAAAGCAGGCTACAAAGTTCATCACCCATCACTCCGTGAGTGCCACAATCAGCCAGTTCCGAACTTAACTATCAGTGGATAACAGCTTCTTTCAATAAAGGCCCCCTCACCAACTATCCATTGGTTATGATGTTGATATAATTCAAAACTGCACAACAAACCTAGCTTTACCCCGGCGGTGCTGATTCAAGGGAACCTGAACGACATACCTGTAGATTACCTTAAACTGCTCCTTAAATTTATTAAATTACGTGGATTATTCTTTTCGATAATAATAATGATAATAATCCACTCCATCTCAGCAGATTTACCAAGCTTGACACATAAAATACCACTATTTCATTTTAACTTTCCGCACACACGTGAGTCTCTCCCTCCCACCTTCTTCCTGAGATGTGTGTCATTTGTAAACGGAGAAGTAACCCAAACACTGCCGAAAGTCAAAAGTGGCAAACTACCAAAGTGTCTCCGGTGCTAAATCCAAATGACCCAGGCCTCAGCTCCATACGTGGAAGTCCCGCCATCTCTAAAGCGAGCAGGAAACCTCTGCTCCCGGGATGCAGGTGGCAAACCCCGGTGGCGGGTGATCAGGCTGGAGGCCACCCGCGCAGACCAGCCCCGGCCTAAGGTGGGGCGACCCCCACCAGGAGCCGAGGCGGGGACTGCAGCCCCGAAAGCCCAAGAAGAAAGCCGGTCGGAAGGGCGGCTCTCGGACGGCGCGGCGCCCTCCCAGCCCCGGGGTAGCCCACGGCGGGGCCCCGACCCCCGGCCCACGCGCCCCGGCTCACCCGCCCCGGCGGGCTGCGGCGCGCCCCGGGCCCGGCCGGGGCAGTGCTCGGCTGACGCCCGCGGCCGCTCAGAGTTCACTCCCCGCGGCGCGCGGCGGGCCCGGGGCCGCTCGGCACCATCCTCCCCGCCGCGCCGGGGGCGACGTCCGGCTCCGCCGGGTCGACGCGCGCCTTGGACACCAGCCCGCTCGCGCCGCCGCTACACGAACTCTCCTCCGGCTCCGGCAGCAGCAGCGGTTTCCGGGTTAAAAAAAAAAAGCCTCCGCCAACGCCGCTGTGACCTCCGACACCTGGCGTCCGACGGTGGCGCAGCCGGGACAAGATACCTCAGCGCGGGCAGCGGAGCCCACGCCCCTGACGGGATCACGTGAGGAGTCACGTGTGCGTGCGTAGACTGTAAGCCCCATGACGTACGTTTGTGTACCTACGTGTGTAGCGTTGTGGGTGTGCGACGTGTCTAGGTCTCGTGCGGAGTGCGTGGAAGGGGATCCGTGTGCACCGGCGTGTGCTCGGTGGATGTGGATGTGTCTGTGGGTGGTGGGTGGTGGGTGGTGGGGTGACCATGGTGGTGTGTGCGTGCATGGGTGTGTATGGTGTGCGTGTGTGCTTCTGTGCTCGCGTATTTATTACTACTGAAGAAGGTATAATTTGGTACACTTTATGAAATAATATGGCAATATCCAGTAAACTTGAAGATATACGCGCTCTTTTTAGGATGTATTACCTGGAGAAACGCTTGGCACCTGCACAAGCCGACTTACAAAGAATGTTTCTAGCACCACTGCCTGTAGTCACTAAGAACAGAGGCGGGGCGGGGGGCAAACAACAGCTCATATAGTCAAATGTAAAAATATGCTTTGGCACTTTGGTGTATCTATAATCAAATACAAAAGAGCAGCGAAAATTACTGAAATAGTTGATACAACAGTGGGGGAGCAAATCACAAAATGATACAGCTTAATTCCATCCATAAAATTCCAAAACATGTTAATCTAATCAACATTTGCAAATACGTACATCTCTGACAGACCAAAAAAATGAGAAAAATGCTTCAATTTCTTGTTAAGCAGTAAAAGAGGATGGAATTGAAGAAGAGGCGCCCAGGACACCTCAGAGGTAAAAGATATGTTCTTTATCTTCAAAGGGTGACACAGTTATTTATTGAATTTTTTATATAGCTTACAAGTATTTTGTATCTACTAGATAGTTAATAAAAATGAAAAATACACTATAATTCTTCATGGAATTAGAAAGTTGAGTACAGAAGATGATCTATCATAAGAAAATTAAAGGCAGAAGCTACAACGTATCTTAAAATAAGTCAGGTCAGGAGATGCTGATAGGAGTCATGAAAGAGAATGGCCAGACCCCAAACATAACTTTTTGACAAAGGTATGAAGAACTTTCAAATGACTTTCAAAAGCTGCTTTCCAACTGAAAGTAATTAAACCAAAGATGAAACTTCTATCTCAAGATCATACTCTTAATGTAAATGTTGTTAAAGCAATCCAGACTATAAGTGGAGGCTTTGTCAAGCATGCCAGTGTAAACAGTGAACAACTTCCAGTGGTCAAGGGTAATTTAAGTGCATAATTTACTGTGGGGTGACTATGAAATAAACCTGGACTGTGATAGGGAAGAACAATATGGTGGGTCATTGTGTCAAGATAAATACATAAATTAAAAATAAGTTTTGTCCATTCTATATATCAAATTGAAATAGAAGAAAAAGATTTTTAACAGCACTATTTTCATGCACAATGTAATATTTTCTGAAAAGTTTTTGAGTAAATGAACATCTTACACTCAATGAAATATTAGAATCAATAAATACTGTTGAATAAGTGAAGGGACAATAAGCATTTCATAAGAGAAAAAATATGAATTCCAACAGACAAAGATGTCATTGCTAATAATGATGAGGATCCTCACTAAGGATAAGAAGATAGTTTGTGGAAAGGAGGCTCTGATTGGAGGTGGGGCTTGGGGTCTATGCCTGGCTTTCCTGCATACTCTCTTATCTCTGACCAAGTGACAAACACTATGAACCTCATGTTCTTCATTACAAAAGTAGGGGTGATAATACCAACTTATTAAAGTTCATGAAACTCCTCTAAACTCTCTATGACCTGTAAAGCAGGGTTAAGTGTGGTAGGCCCACAAAAACCTGAGCTGTGTTGTTAATTGCAGAACACAGACCTCTGAGGTTATACAGGCACATCCGAAACCCTGCAGGTTCTGTTCCAGACCACTGCACCATAGAGAAGATCGCTATAAAAAAATCACATGATTTTGGGGGGTTTCCAGTGTGTTTAAAATGTAATGTAGTGTATTTACATTACCCTCTCGTCTATTAATGGCACATTATGTCTCAAAAAAACAATGTACATACCTTCATTTGAAAATGCTTTATTGCTCTCTTCTCTATAATGTTTTTGCTGGTAGAGGGTCCTGACTTAATGCTGATGGCTGCTGATGGTGGTTCCTGAAGGTTGGGGGTGTCCGTGGCAATTTTTTAAAATAAGACAACGGTCCCGCATCAATTGACTCTTCCTGTTTTGAAAGATTTTTCTGTAGCATGCAATGCTGTTAGATAACATTTTACCCATATTAGAACCTCTTTCAAATCAATCACTTCGAACCCTGTCGCTTCTTTATCAACTAAGTTTACACATCTCAAGAAACCACTTTCTGGGCTCATCCACACACAAAAAACAACCCCTCATCTGTTACTTTTATTGTGAGAGTGCAGCAATTCAGTCACATCTTCAAGTTCCACTTTTAATTCTAGTTTTTTTGCTATTTCTACCACATCTGCAGTTATTCTCCTCTGAAGGCTTAAATCCCTCAAAGTCACCCATGATGTTGAAATCTATTTCTTCCAAATGTCTGCTAATATTTTCACCTCCCCCAGTGAATCATAAATGTTCTTATTGGTATCTGGAAAGGTGAATTATTTCCAGAATGTGTTAAATTTACTTTGCCCACATCCATAAGGAATCACATCTATGTTCGCAAAAGCTTATGAAACATTTTTCCATAAATAATAAGATTTAAATATGGAAACTACTCCTTGGCCCATGGACTGCAGAATGGATGGTATGTGAGCTGGTATGAAAACAACTCTAATCTGTATATTTCCATCAGAGCTCCTGGGTGACTAGCTACATTGTCATTGAGCAGTAATATTTTGAAAGGAATCTTTTTTTCTGAGTGATAGGTCTCAACAGTGGCCTGCAAATAGTCAGTTTACTATGTGGTAAACAGATGTGCTATCATCCGGCTTTGTTATTCCATTTATTTACCACAGGCAGGGTAGATTTAGTATAATTCTGAAAGACCCTTGGATTTTCAGAATGTTAAATAAGCATTGTTTCAATTGAAACTCAAAAGATTTATTAGCCCCTAACAAAAGAGTTACTCTGTCCTTTGAGGTTTTGAATTCAGTCATCGACTTCTCCCCTCTGGCTATGAAAGTCCTAGAAGGCTCTTCTTCCAACAAAAGACTGTTTCATCTACATTGAAAATCTGTTGGCCAGTGTGTCTATCGTCATCAGTTGTCTTAGCTAGATCTTAAGGAATACTTGTAGCTTCTTCATGGATACTGGCTGCTTCAACCTGCCCTTTTATGTTACAGATAAGATCGCTTCTTTTCTTAGACCTGTTGTGAAAGTGAAAACCTCTTCCGATTTCTTTTGGTTAGCCAAAGCAGGGACTAGTGGAGATCTTTTGTAAAGGTAAGCTGCATAATATAAACTTTTGAAAATGAGGGTTATGGTATTTTTCCTCCATAACAAACTGTAGATTTGTCATTTACACTCCCGAGTCTTCTTTAGCAGCCGAACCCTGTTAAAGCCTGCTGAGCTGCCATCATTTATGCAGCTGGTGTCTGGAGTAGGACTTACTGAGAGATCTCTGACTCATTCTTTACTAAGGATATACAGCTAGGACAATATTTAGAAAGAAAAGGGATTCTTCTGATAAAGAAAATTTAATGAACAAATAAGTGACTCTTGGTTTGAAGTAGCGCAGACTTTGAAATTAGATACTAGTAATAAAACTTTGCAGTGAAATCTGAAATGAAAGATCTGAACCTCAGAAACTTGAAAAATGGATCAAAAGAGAGCTGCAAGCGCCGGTTCGATCCCTGGCTGCTCCCCGGCCACCGGAGGAGGGTCCCGCATGGGGCACAGACCTCTCCTGCCGCCCACTGCTCCCCTCAGCAGTGTACTTCGGTCCTTCTGCCTGCTCTGCTCCCTGCTCTGGCCCTGGTGCATTCTCTCACCTTCCCGCGCTTCTGACTGTACCCAGTGCTTGTATAAATAAATAAAAATAAATCTTTAAAAAAAAGAGAGAGAGAGCTGCAAACTGATATTGTAACAGGGTGGTCCCCAGGAAAGGGGGAGGTTCCAGGTTTCCTGCACCACCCAAAGGAGGGTGGAGCTAAGCAGGGAGAGAAGCAGCTGCAAAGACTGAGGAAAGAAGGAAGCAGGATGGAGAGCCAGAAAGAGACCTGGAGGAGGCACATGGAGCTGAGAGACACATGAAGAAACTGTGCTTGCCTTTTGGTCGTGGACTGGTTGACACAGATGTAGGTGAGAGACCCGTGGGGAGGTGACAATGGCAGTTTTTGTCTTGATTTTGATTTTGCTCTTTTCCTTCCAGACTTGTCTGGTTGTTTCTGATCCTTCTCTGTGGGTCCCCACTGGAAGATGCTTTAGACTTGTAGCAGGCTTTGGGGCCTTGCTCTGGGCCAATCCCATTTGGATGGACTTTTACCCACGAGGGGAAGGATAACTTTGGGTGCATGATTTAGAAACTATATTCTTTGCCTATCCTGTCTTGTTTCCTAATTGTATTAAAGTTCCTTCCCATTAAAGTCTCATATGTTTTGTGTTGATGCAGCAGATGGCAGAAACTATTTAGAGCAGGCATGTTTGCTGGGTCTGGGGTGCCCCTTCCCTGTCCTGTAACAATATTATTACAATATCAATTGACTTGTTACAATGTCAAGTTCTTACTTGACATTTCAGTGGTTGCTGCTTTGAGCATTAGCAAATTGAAAGTAATTTCAGAATCTCCTTGGGTTGAGCTATGCCCTCTCTGGCTGACACTGTAATTTTTTGATGAATCAGCTAAGTCTGTGAAATCCATACAAGGAAGAGTGTCTCTGTTTTAAGTACTGCTAACTTCGGGGAACACAATTCTTACACACACACACACACACACACACACACCACACAGACAACCTCGATTGGCCAACACCTGGTTCCTGGGAAAACTTGTAGATTACCACAATGGAGTAAGAGCAAGTCCATCATACAAGCCCATGTAGAAATGGGCAATAACCCTGCCCCCTTCCTTGCCAACCCACGCTGAAGCTGCGGAAATAGCATAGGTGTATGGGACCATCTACATAATGACAAATGTAAGCTCTCTGATGGGGTACTCCTGGCCAAGGTTACGACACATACTATAATTAAAGGAGTCCCACCATTATTGGTGTATTGGCACCAAATATACCTTTCTAGTGAGACTACAGGAAATTGAAAATCTACAGTCTCAAATCTCTTATTCCAACTACCATGTCAGAGATTTGGAATTTTATAAAAGGAAAAGTTAAGTGGGTGCAGCCACATTGGAAACAGTCTGGCCATCCTTCAACAAGTTATACATAAATTAAGATTTGACCCAGAAATTCCAGCCCAGAGACCTAAGAGAATCAGAAACATGGCCACATAAAAATGTGTACACCGATGTTCATAACAGCATCATAATAGCCCAAGAGTATAAATAGCCCAAATTTATTAACTGATGAATTTGGATAAGCAAGGTATAGCATAGTCAAATAATGGAATATAATTCACCCATAAAGGGAAATAAAGATCTGATGCACACTACAGCATGGATGAGCCTTGAAAACACGATGCTAAATAAAAGCAGCCAGTCATAAAGTCCACACATTATGATTCCTCTGACATAAAATGTTCAGAATAGACAGAGATAGAATGTAGATTACTGGTTACCTAAGATAGGAGATAAAGGGGGGAGGAGTACTAAAGGGGAACAGGATTTATTTGGGGGTGAGGAGAATGTTCAAAAGTTGATAATGGTGATGATGGTAGCACAACTCTGGAAATATACTAAAAACCACTGGAGCCAATTTCCTGTGGATTCATCAATGAATTCTGGAACAGACATTGAAGTTTAAAGGAGAACTTCTTTCACACACTGAGCTGAAAACAAGGCCAGCCCACAATGGTGAGCACTAGTGAAACACAGATCATGGCTAGGCCCAGGAGAGTAAAACAAAGGGATAAAGATGGACAGGAAACACACTGGCCTTCCAAGGAACTGGACCTACAGTGGATGACCTAAAATGCAGTCGGGATTAAAGGGACCCATATTGATGGCACCCTGGACCACTTGCCTGAAAGAAACTCCTTTTTTGCAGCAATATAATCCTCAAAAAAAATTCTCTAAGTATATTTGATCCAGTCTGGCACTGAGTAGAAAATGAACAATAAATGTGATGGGATTGAAACCCAAAGGACAAAGTAAATGGACCCAGAAGGGATCCAGATATTGAAATAAATAGAGCTGGTTCTATCCCTCCTCTAACCCAAGTAAATTACTGGAAAGAATGTGTGACAACCAGTTACAACAGAAAGAAAACTGCAGATCACAGAAATCAAAGTAGGATGAGCAGGCACAATTCTGTACTGAATGAATTTCCTAAAAATACTGTGGAACCTGTCCTAAAAGAAATAGGGTTATCCCTTGGAACACCACGTTGGTGGAAAAAGCCCTCAGTGGAATTAAGTTCCTACTAGGAAGTAAAATGTTGGCAAGAATGACATTGGGTGGTGGGCCCAGCAGGGGTGAGATACTCCCATTTTACCAGCTTGACCCTTGAGGCATTCCCCTCACCGGTTGCCTGTTAAAAGAAACAACCCCAGGAAGTTTCCACAAATTGTGGCATATGAGGACACTGTGGAGTCTGTTGTGGGAGGACAGAGGAAGCTGTTCTGGGCCTAGAGGGGTGGGGGTGCCCGTGAAGGGCAGCCACTATGTGCCCAATAGACATAGGTTCCACCCACTCATCCCCCAACCTAGCCCGCTGCCTGACCCCCATGGTGGCAGAGGCCCCCTTAGATGGGACAGAACCAGCCAGTGAAGTGGAAGTTGCTGAGACTGGGCAGTGGCCCAGACGTTGGGCCCACCACCCTTTTCCTATCCCACGCACTTTATGCAAGACCCTGGGCCGCACAACCTTTAGTAGCCTATAAAGGGCACTGACGGGGTAGAATCCAAAAAGGCAGCCCCATTGCAGGAGACCAACAGCAGGGAGAAGAACGGGTCCTCCCATCCTGATTGCCATCCAGGTACCCAAGGCCTTTCCACCACCCCAGGCCACCCCAGCAGCCCACCACAGAAGGTGGGATGGCAGGACCAACCCCAGCCAAGGCCTCACCGATGGTTCCGGCCTGAGCTCCAGCAGCCACAAAACCGCCCCTATTCCCAGCAGCAAAGGCAGCAGCCCCCTGGATCCC